AGGAGATTGAGTCTCTTCATAAGAACCAGACTTGGTAGATAGTTAAGAAGCCTAAGGGTAGAAAATTGTGGGCTGTAAATGGGTCTTCAAGAATGAAGGAATTCTAGGGGTGGAAGATACGAGGTACAAGACACGCTTGGTGGCGAAGGGCTATACACAGAGGGAAGGGGTAGACTTCAATGAAGTGTTTTCTCCCGTGGTGAAACATAGCTCAATCCGGGTGTTACTTGCTATGGTTGCTCTGTATGACTTGAAGCTTGAGCTTGATGTCAAGACTGCTTTCTTGCATGGTGAGTTGGAACAGTAGATTTATATGCATCAGCCTGAGGGGTTTGAGATTCTGGGAAAGGAAGATAATGTTTTTACCTACTGAAGAAGTCCTTGTATGGGATGAAGCAGTCTCTTAGACAGTGGTACAAGCAATTTGACACCTTTATGGTTGGGAATGGCTACTGTAGGAATAAGTTTGACAGTTGTGTGTATCATAGGAAGCTCTCAGATGGTTCGTATTTGTACTTCTTGTTGTATGTTGATGACATGTTGATAACTTGCAAGAACATGTCTGAAATTGTTCAAATATATAAATATTTCTATATAATTGTGGAGCAAAATCCTCCACCAATCATGGTGATCTGGTCAATTTCCTTCCAATTATAAATATTTTTATATAACGGTGGAGCAAAATCCTCCACCATTCATGGTGTCTCCTTTGACTATTGTACATATTCCATATTTTCTTATCTTTACCATGCCTATATATAGGCTCCTTGTACTTAAGCAATATACAGATCTGAATAATAAAAATGTAGCCTTTAGTGGCTCTTTGTTCATGAATGCAGGCCTTAGTGCCAAACCATGTATAAGCTTGTGTTCTCTCTCTTCCCTTTTTCTATTTGCAATTCTTATTTCCGCATCCAATTTTAACCGAAATCAAAATGTTGAAGGCTCAGCTTAGTAGTGAATTTGAGATGAAGGATCTTGGTGTTGCAAAGAGGATATTAGGAATGGAAATTCATAGGGATAGAGGAGCGGGCATATTGTATTTGTCATAGAAGAAATACATTGAGAAGGTGCTGGAATGCTTCGGTATGCAGGCATCAAAACCTGTGAATACTCCATTGGCTACCCACGTTAGACTTTCAGCCCGATTGTCACCACAGACCGAGGAGGAGTTGGAGCACATGTCTCGTGTTCCTTATGCTAGTGTAGTTGGTAGCCTTATGTATGCTATGGTGTGCATTAGGCCAGACATTTCACATGCAGTTAGTGTAGTGAGAAGATACATGAAATGGATATTACGATACTTGCGAGGCACTACAGATGTTGGGTTAGTCTATGACAGAGGCAGCGACACGTGTGGGAGTCTTGCTGGATATGTTGATTCGGATTATGTTGGAGATCTTGATAGGAGGAGGTCCTTGACAGGGTATGCCTTCACTATTTGTGGGAGTGTGATCAGTTGGAAGGTGACTTTACAGCTCATAGTTGCATTGTCTACCACTGAGACTGAGTACATGGCAGCTATAGAGGCAGTGAAGGAAGCTATATGGTTGAGAGGCTTAGTTGGTGATTTGGGCTTGCAGCATGATGATTTGACTGTGTTTTGTGATAGCCAGAGTGCCATACATTTGATTAAAAATCAGATGTTCCATGAGAGGACCAAGCACATTGATGTCAGGTTTCACTTTATCAGAGATGTGGTTGCATAGGTTGCTATTGCAGTGAGGAAGATTGGGACAGCAGAGAATCCTGCATATATGATGACTAAGGTCATTCCTACACTCAAGTTTAGACATTATCTGGACTTGATTGGTACTTGCAGTTGCTAAGGCCCTTAGGGGCAAATGGAGGCGGCGAAAGGAATAACTGGAGATTGTAATTCGAGCCAAGGTGGAGATTTGTGATATTGTGGCCCGAATTTGGTGCCGGGTCGTGTTGCGACCTGCTTATGACCCGACGACCCGTTGAAAAAGTTTAACCCGTTTTTTGCTCATGGGTTGTGGACCCTAATTTGTCTCTTGTAGCCCGATATATGAGAACGCTTAGGGTTTGGAGTGGTGGAAGAGAGAGACTCTGATATTCGTACAAAAATAGAGTGAGGGGCTGAAAACTTGTAATCTCCGATTTTACACACAGTGAAAACTTTTGGCGAATCCCAACCGTAGGCGTAGACTGTTGCCGAACCACTTATAAATCTTTGTGTGGCGTGTTTACTTTTCTGTCGTGATTCTTGGTTCAACTTGGGTTCGTTGCATTTGTCATAACACATCCCATATCTCAGTTTGTATCCTACGATGCCTTATCTCCAACATATCGTGCTTTCACTTCGTGTATTTCCTATGTATCTATTCCTTCTAGTGTTTCAGATGCTCTCAGTCAAACTCCATGGAAGAAGGCTATGCTTGAAGAAATGAACACCCTTGAGAAGAATGGTACTTGGGATGTTGTTCCATTACCTAGGGGTAAGAAACTAGTAGGTTGCAAATGGGTCTACACAATAAAGTATCACGCAAACGGGACAATTGAGAGATATAAAGCTCGGTTAGTTGCAAAAGGCTTTACTCAGACCCATGGAATTGATTATCTGGAAACATTTGCTCCAGTTGTCAAGATGAACTCTATACGTGTTCTTCTTTCTTTGGCAGCTAATTTGAATTGGCCTTTACATCAGCTGGATGTAAAGAATGTTTTCCTTCATGGTGACTTGGAGGAAGAGGTGTATATGACTATGCCACCAGGGTTTAAGCTTGCCAATGGTCAGAATTTATTGTGCAAGCTAAATAAAGCCCTGTATGGGTTAAAGTAGTCGCCACGTGCTTGGTTTGAGAGGTTTAGCACTGCTGTGAAAAGAGTAGGGTACACACAGAGTCAGACAGATCATACTCTCTTCATCAAGAAGCACCAGGGCTGCACCAATGCCCTTATTGTATATGTTGATGATATTGTTATCACTGGAAATGATCCAGGAGTGATTCTTCGAATGAAGTTATTCTTGGGGATAAAGTTCGAGGTTAAAGACCTCGGATCATTGAGATACTTTCTTGGCATCGAGGTGTGTAGATCGAAGAAAGGGGTGTTCATTTATCAACGGAAGTATGTGTTAGATTTGTTGGCTGAACCAGGCAGGCTTGGAGCTAGATCTATTGATATTCCCATTGAGCAGAACCATAGGCTTAATGATATAGATGGAGACCCATTAGATGATGTGGGAAGATTTCAGCGATTGGTTGGGAGACTGATTTACTTATCTCTCAAGCGTCCGGATATTGCCTACACTGTTAGTGTGATTAGTTAGTTTATGCATGCTTTACGTACACCTCACCTTGAGACAGCTCATCATGTTCTTCGCTACCTCAAGGGTTCACCTGGTAAGGGGATATTGTTTGGTAGTCATGGCCACTTGCGTGTTGAAGCCTATACTAATGCTGATTGGGCAGGGTCTGTGACAGATCGACGATCTACTTCAGGATATTGCACATTTGTTGGAGGTAATCTTGTTTCATGGCGAAGCAAGAAATAGTCTATAGTAGCTAGATCTAGTGTAGAGGCTGAGTTTAGATCCATGGCACATGGAGTTTGTGAGTTGTTATGGCTACGCACGATGTTGGGTGAGTTGGGGTATCTTGTTCACGAGTCAATGAAGTTGTATTGTGACAACAAGGCTCTTATTAGCATTGCCCATAATCCAGTTCAACATGAAAGGACAAAGCACATTGAAGTCGATTAACACTTCATCAAGGAAAAGCTTCGTCTTGGGCTGATTTGTACTCCATATGTCAACACACATGATCAGGTTGCTGATGTTTTAGCTAAGGGTATGAGCAAGACTTACTTGCAAAATATGTTAGTCAAGCTGGGCATGATAGATATCTTTGCACTAGCTTGAGGGGGTGTTGTCAGGGGCTTATTTGTTATTACTTATATCATGTTGGGGTTTATGTGTAATTTCTAAAACTTATTATTAGAAATAGAATGTGGTGGAAGGATGAAAGGATTTTTTCATTCTCTCTCTTACCCCCCCCCCCCCCCCCCCCCCTCTTTTTCTCTCATCCGCTTTCTTCTCTTTTTCTTCTTCTTCTTTATCACTTAACTCTTGATTTGATTATATCTTAAAGTCAACATTCCTCATTCCTGTTTTCACCATCTTCAGCAAGACATCAGATATTGGATCTTTTATTTATCCTTCTCCCTCACATTGAACTGAAGCTTGCTTGAGTGCTGCACGCACCAAAACCAGGTCCTCATGGTCCACCATTAAAAAGTACACTACCCCAACCCTCTCCGCCAACTCAATCAATGGCCCTGCATCACCCCTAGTCTCAAGCAAGTCAAAGGTTTTGCTTCCTTCTTGAATGATTTTCCCTCTTTCCCACCTTGTCATCTTTGAAGTTCAGTGTGGAAATTCAAGGTTGAAAGTCTCTAGTCCATGTGGCATTGACGTGGCAGCGTAGAGATACTTTCCCTTCCAAAAACTGCATACCTTTATTGTCATGGCTAAAATTCTAGATCACGTAGAATGACATACTAATTTATCTGTTTTTTTATTTTACTGTAAAATTATTCTCATTTTTTTTTCTTCGATTCACAATGCTTTTTGCACCTCTGTCACACATTTAAATTCACAAAAAAAAGATGACCCCTACATGAGAAGCCATTGTTTTCCAACTCTCTCAAGAGCCGTTTCTTGCCCCTAATGGTAAATTTGGAAGCCTGTAATGAAGTCTACTGTGATTTTTTTTTTTTTTGATGTACTTTAGGAATTACCAATGCTTGATAAAGCCTTATATTCTGTCAAGTCATTTAACTGTTTGGCCTGTGTCACTTACTGAAAGCTCGTCTCATTTTGTTGGAGGACTGGCTAACATTTTCTTATGTTTATATTGCAAAGTCTTTCTAGACATCTCTTTAAGTTTATATCTCTTTGAGTTTATTTTTATTGCCTCTCATGTTCATTGTAGGATGATCAGGTATCACATTGTTCTTACTTTTTTCTAATGCAGAGGTGTATGGTACAAATGCTTCTCCTTGCTGGACCCGGTGTTCTTATTTCAACCTTTTGTCTTGGATCTGCTCTAAAGGTTTGCTGAAGCAGCTGAACTATGCTGTATAGATGGCAGTGTTCTTGTCTTGCAATAATATGTTGTGCAAAAACATTCTGCAGCTCATTTTTCCATATGACTGGAGCTGGAAAACATCGCTGTTGCTTGGGGGACTTCTTAGTGCTACTGACCCTGTGGCTGTTGTGGCTCTGTTGAAAGAGCTTGGTGCAAGCAAAAAGCTGAATACGATAATCGAAGGAGAATCCTTGATGAATGATGGGTATTAACTTTGATTACTTTTTCATTATATCCTTCTTTTAAACATAGATATTTTGTTTTTTCCAAGTAGTTCTATTAATAACATCTAATTACTTTAACAAATCGTTTACTTTGAAATATAATGAGAATTTGTCTTCATTACACCTTAACATATTCAGTCTTATTTTGAAGACTTCAATTTTGATCTTCAGGACAGCAATTGTGGTCTATCAGCTATTTTATCAAATGGTCATTGGCTGGAGCTTTAACTGGGGCGCTGTAGTCAAATTTCTGACACAAGTTTCTCTTGGAGCGTATGTGATGTTTAATTCAATCTCGACTAATAATGCTAGCCAGATATAAGTTCTTTAAAAATACCCTTTTCTTGTCCAGTGTAGGCATCGGTCTGGCTTTTGGAATAGCATCTGTCTTGTGGCTTGGATTTATTTTCAATGACACAGTGATAGAGATCACATTGACCTTTGCAGTCAGCTACATAGCTTACTTCACTGTATGTGTCTTCCCAAGCTTGGGACACCCTTTATTTTATAGATTCATGCCTTCATCATTTATTTTTGATTGATATGGCTAACTTCTTATTATTTTTATTTATTGAAAGAAGTATGTTTATTACATTTGTAAACATAATATCTCTGAAAGTGTTGTTGCATCTCATAGTCCATTTAGTTTGAACTGAAATGAAATGGTATTTTACTCTGCAGTGTTCTTGATTCGTCATGTCTGCCCGAGTTGCAGTTGATTTAATCAATTTCCCTTTGTTCTTATATATTTGTTTGCTAGCCAATTGTTCTTTTGGCTCTCCATTTTTTTTTCTCACTTTTCTCGCCATTTGTTATAAGTAAGAATATAGTAGAATTTATTATTATTTGAGAGTTGTCACTGATCATTTTTAGAATATGTGATAAAAATTTGCAACCTTATTAAAATATAGGTAGTATCTATTTGTAGGTGTGAAATCTGCTAGTGATAACATGTTCTTAGTATTCACAATAGTGGAAGGTGTCAACTAGCCTAGCTAGTTACGTCTCTGGTTAATTGTATCAGAGATGCCGGATCAAATCCCACTTCCGTTTGGGGAGGGCGGTTATGTGTAGGGTCCTACCCTCAATAGTTGTTAAAGATACACTTTTACCAAAAAATCCCAAGGCACTTTAAGGCTTGGCCAAAGCTAGGGATGGCAACGGGGCGGGGCACCCCTTCCTTGACCTTGCCCTAAATAAGAAAATTCTTTCCATACGCGTCCCCAACCTGGGATGGGTTTGAGATGGGATTCCGATCCCCGTTTATAGCCATGGTCAGAAAACTTGTTCCTACCCCGTCCAACACAAATACAATGTAGAAATCCATATATACATGTTTATATGCACAATTATATATAACTGTATAAAAAAGGCTAGCCCAGAGGAGGTGAGTGCCGTAGAAGAGAAAGGAGGTGAGTAAATGATGAATTAAAGAAAATTTGAGCAATTGTTTTGCTAGGATGCTCTTTATGCCTCACAAAATTATATGATGTTCAATATATGCTCTATATATTTTGTGTGCGCTTGCATAGGTTTTCTTAAAATACAGTCTTTATAAAAAACCTTGGAGGCTGAAAAAGATTAGGTTTTAAAAAGAGTTTTAATCCTATTTGAAAACTCTTTTTCTGCATATTTTACTTGATTTACTTGATCAATCCATCGATATTGGTGCAGCGGGATTCAATTGATCCATCGATGTATCATGGATCTAATTCTAAGAAGCACGGACACGGATACGGGACACAAATACGGTACGGCACGGATACGGCGACACAACAAATCCTAAAAAATCAGGACACGGACACAGCGAATAATAAATATATATATTTACATATATGATGTTGTACTTTAAGAAATTAAGAGTAATATTAATTTTTATCAACCTAATAATGAAAAAACAATTTGTGCTTTGTCAGGAAAAATAGAGAATGATAGAAAGAGGATTAAGAAAGAGGAGAAAACAAAGAAACTTAAATATGCAAGAGTTTGAACATTTGAACTAAGTATAAGCATAAATATCTGATTGTTTAATATAAAATTGTTTTATAAAACAAATTTTTTAAAGTAATTATGTTATGACCATCATATTATTGAAAACTATTAAACAACTCCTCATAGTTACACTTAACCTAGCTTTCTTTCTAAAACTTTCTTAAAATTCCCAAGCTTACTTATCATAAAAAAAAAAAAAAATTTCACAGTGTGCCTTCCGTGTCCGAATAACCATGGCGTGTTTGATGCTTGTCCATGCCTTGTCCACTCCATGTCCGAATATTAAAAAAAATAAAAAATATTTAGACACATTTTATGGCTTGTCCGACACGTGTCGGGGCGTGTCCGGCGCGTGTCCGCGTCTGACACGGATTCTTTGCCATTTTAGGTTTGTCCGTGCTTCCTAGATCTAATTCCTCTGTCCTAGTCCAATTAGGATTTGACTTTCTATAGTTTTATGCATTCCAGAATTCAATTTTATAGATCAAAACGTGTAATTTGAAAAGCCTAACATGTGTAATGAAATGAAAGCATATGAACCCTCATTTGGTGAGTGCAGAATTTACCTTTTTGCCCTTGATGAAGTTTTGAATTTATTGATGCACCTTTGGACAAAAGGTAAATCAACTACTTAATTTTACTAAATTATAAAAGCATAAACAAAACCAAAATTCCTTATTGTGGACTCCATTTTGTTTGAAATTTGCCAACCAAAGTCCTATTGACTTGGCCTAACAAATAGATTATACTGTCTAATCATATTAAATATTTGTTAGCCCCCTATTTATGGTGGGGTTTGTGGCGTGAGAGAAATAGGAGATCCTTTGATGGAGACGAGTCCCCTATTTGGTCTCTCAAATACAGTTTTCTTTCTACTTTAATTTTTTTGGGTCAATTGTAAATCTTTGGGGCATCTTTTGGATTTTGTGGATAGCTTGAAATTATAGTGTCGTCTTAGGCGTCTTTGTATTCCTTTGGGAGCGCTCCCCTCTTGAGAAAAAATCATACTTCAAAAAAAAAATTGTTAGTCAAGATCAGGGGCGGAGACAATTGGGGGGCCAAACTAGCACTATATATCTAAACTAATAAAAAATATAAAAATATTATAGTATGTTTTTTTTTTTTTTTGAAAATATAAGTCTTAATATTTGTTATTATGAGCATGTCTATCATGAGGGTACTTTCACTGCATTTTGTCATTGTAACTGTTGGATTTTCTTATGTTTTATTTCTTATTTGATTTTATTTTTATTTTTATTTTTAATACTAACTGTTTGAGAGACTGGCGTTTACAGTAGTAGAAATACAATATAGAAGAAAGATAAGAGGAACATGTAAAAGGTTTGAATGAGATGAATCCCTCATTCACAGCTCTAGTATTTATAGATAAAAAAGAGCACATACTCATATTACAAGAAAGGAAACTAAATCAAATCTAAATAAAATCACAGCATATTCTATAACATAATCAAATTTTTGCTAATATGGTAAGTCATTCCATAAATCATGGCTATTATACATGTTAACACTCCCCCTCTAGTTGATGCGTGGATATCTGAAACGCTCAACATGGACAATGCATTTTCAAACACAATCTTGCAAACGCCCTTTGTAAGAATGTCTGCAAGCTGCTGAGAACTTGTGACAAATGGAGTGCAAATTTGACCAGAGATGATCTTCTCTCGAATGAAGTGACGGTCCACCTCTATATGTTTAGTCTTGTTATGCTGAACGGGATTTGCTGCCATGCTAATGGCAGACTTGTTGTCGCAGCGAGTGAGAATGGAAGAGACACTGGAAGGCACAAGTCTGTCATCAAGGTTTTCAGCCATAGCAACTCACATATCCCAAGAGCCATAGCCCTATACTCTGCCTTTGCACTAGATCGAGAGACAACATTCTGCTTCTTATTGCGCCAAGTAACCAAGTTACCACCCATAGTGGTACAATAACCTGAAGTTGACCTCCTATCTGAAGCTAATCCTGCATAATCGACATTTGTCCAAGCCTCAACACGTAAGTGACCATGATTGGAAAACAAAATACCATGGCCCAGACACCCATTTAAGTAGCGAAGGATCCATATAGCTGCATCAAGGTGAGGGGTATGAGGAGAGTGCATGAATTGACTAATGACACTCATGGCATAAGTAATGTCAGGTCGAGTCATGGATAAATAGATGAGCTTCCCCACAAGTTGTTGATACTAGCCAAAATCTGACAACAACTCCCCTTTAGAATTAGCTAACCAATGATTATACTCAATTGGAGTATAAACAGGATGAGCGTCAAGCTAACCAGAAGCAGATAGCAAGTTAAGAACATACTTGCGTTGAGAGATGAAAATGCCAGTCTTGGAGCGAGCCATCTCAATGCCCAAGAAGTACTGTAGGGGACCAAGATCCTTAATCTCAAACTGACGGCCAATATAGCTCTTAACCTTAGCAATTTCGGTAATATCATCTCTGGTAAGAACAATATCATCGCCATACATAATGAGAGCAACTGTCTTACTACCTGAATGACGTAAGAACAAGGTATGATCAGTTGCACTCTGATGGAAACCAAACTTGAGCATGGCAGTGCCAAAGCGATTAGACCAAGCTCGAGGAGACTGCTTGAGGCCATACAAAGAATGACAAAGACGACAGACCATACGAGAATGAGCAGGAGAACGAAAGCCCGGAGGAGGAACCATGTACACCTCCTCCTGCAAATCACCATTGAGAAATGCATTCTTGACGTCTAACTGAAATAGAGGCCAAGATCGAATCGCAGTAATGGAAAATAATACATGGATGGTATTTATCTTGGCAACAGGGGCAAATGTCTCCTGATAATCTATGCCATAAGTCTGAGCATAACCCTTGGTAACCAACTGGGCCTTGTAACGAGTAACTGACCCATCTGGAGTATGCTTAACTGTAGACACCCAACGATAACCCAGAACCTTTCGTCCAATAAGAAGGGGAACCATGTCCTAAGTCTGATTTATCTCAAGTGCTTGTAGTTCTTCTGTCATAGCATCACGCCATTGAGGTTGTGCTAGTGCATCTACAACTCTAGAAGGAAGAGGAATCGAGGTAACAAGAACAAGAAAACTCCGATAGGAGGGTGAGAGAGCACAATCAGAAACAAAATTAGAAATAGGGTATGTTCAAGAACGTTTACCCTTTCAAAGAGCAATGGGGCGATCATCAAACGAAACAATAGCTTGAAAAGGCGGAGCTAGTGCCGAAGGAACAAGGCAGTTGATTGTGCGAGTAGAAGCTTGTACCTATTGTCTCCGACTATAAACCTGTGGAAAAAGAACAATTCCCCTTGCTGGAGGGGTATCACGAGGAGGAATAATAGAAGACGAACCAGGTAAGGTAGAGGAGTTGAAGACGGAAGATGGTGATCATCAATTATATTTAATGGGATCCATTCACTTTGAGAACCAACTGAACCACTATAGTATGGTGTATGCTCAAAGAAAAAAACATCCGTGGATATAAACCGCCGACGACTGGGAGGATGGTAACACCTATAACCTTTTTGAGAGTGAGAATAGCCCAAAAACACACACTTCAAAGCCTCGGGGTCAAGCTTTGTACGAGTCTACCCAAACTGCTGAACAAAACACACACACCTGAAGACTCACGGAGGAATAAAAAAAAAGAGATGAATTGGGATGTAAGATTGAGAGTGGAGTTGCAAAGTTAAGAGCCCTAGAAGGAGTCCTATTAATGATGTAAATAGCTGTAAGAACTGCATCTCCCTCAAATGACCGGGGAACATTCATGCCAATGCAGATTGCTCTGGCTAAGTCAAGGATGTGGCGATTCTTTCTCTCAGAACGGCCATATTCTGCTGAGGGGTTTTAACATTAGCCATCTGATGCTCAATCCCAAATTCTGTACATAACCGCTGTACCTCCCCATAAGTGTATTCCGTACCCTGGTCAGATCTAAATTTTTTAATGGTACGACCATATTGAGTCTAAACCATTGTCATAAAATTTTTAAAAATGGTGTACACCTCATTTTTGGTTTTGATAAGATAAACCAATGTAACACGACTATGATCATCAATGTATAGCATGAAATATCGAAATCTAAGACTAGAAGTAACAGGGCAAGGACCCCACATAACTGAATGAATAAGATTAAAAGGTGTTAAAGCAGATTTATTACTACTAGCAGGATAATTGGAACATACATGTTTAGTTATGTGACATGTCTCACAGGATGAATCTGACACTGTCACGTTACAAAATAAGGAAGGAAATAAATGTTTTAAATAATTGAAAGAAATATGTCCTAAACGCATGTGCCAACGCATAAGTAGGGCTTTATTAGATGAAACAGAATTAGAAAATGAAACTGAATGTTTTTAAGGTAATAAAGGAGCATCCAACAGGTATATACCGTCCACTTCACGCCCACTGCCAATCGTCCATTTCAACACCAAATCCTGAAAAATACAATGAGAGGGAAAGAATGTTACACTACAATTTAATTGTTTGGTAACTCTACTAACAGAAATAAGATTTGTAGTCAACTGTGGAACATGAAGTGTATCTGACAAAGTTAATGAAGGAGTAACTGATATGTGACCTTTTTTTTTTTTTTTTTTTTGATAAGTAACTGATATGTGACCCTTCCTAGCAATGGAAGAAGGAGAGCCATCCGCAAGGCGTACCTTGCGATGGCCAGATTAGATACTATAAGATTGGAAGAATGAGGATATACCAGTCATATTGTCTGATGCACCAAAATCAATGATCCATGGTGTCGAAGATGTAGATACGCTATGTGTAGACGCAATAGTACCTGAGTGGGCATAAGTAGAGGTTGGTTGAGATGATGCCTCCATTTGGTTGAAGAATTGTTTGAACTTGTCTAAATCAACTTGAGTCAAGGTAACTGTGGCAGAAGATGTAGAGGCAGAGTTGTCGGGAGTTGACAACGAGACTAGTTGTGTAACAGAATGTGCAGAGGATCGAGGTGGTTGTTTCTGTTGCGGTGGGCGTCCATGTAGAGCATAACAACAAGATTTGATGTGACCAATTTTTCCGCAATGGTCACATCATCCACGTTGTCGTCCTAGAGGTGGACTAGTGGTAGAGCTCTGAACTGATTGGGATGGTGCAATTCCTGAAAGGTTGGGAACCCGAACTGCTATAGCAGAACGATCAACAGAAACAACACCTAATGGACGAGTCCGACGGCTCTCATCTGACAACGCATAAGAGTATGCATCCTCAAGAGTAGGGAATGAAGATACGCCTAATAAATGAACATGAGCATACTCAAACTCGTCGTTTAACCCGGCAAGAAACTGAAACACTCGATTCTTCATATGGATCCTTCAAAGAGTGGAAGGAATCATAATATGACTTCTCCTCCCAAATAGCATGAAGCTTGGCGATGTAACCTGAAACTGTCAAGTCACCTTGAGAAATCCTGGTGATATCTCGTCCCAACTGGAAATCCATGCATTATTCTGCCTTTGAGAATAAGTGCGTTGAACTGAATCCCAAATCTGCTTAGCAGTCTTCATAAACATATAGCCAACGGCTATGTTTGGTTGCATCGAATTGACTAGCCAAGACATAACCATAGCGTTATCTGTAAACCACTGTGGATATGCCTTCTCTGACTCAGCTGGCTCTTCCTCACAACCAGTAATATAGCCAATCTTGCCTTTGCTACCAATGAACATCTTGGTAGACTGTGCCCAAATCAAATAGTTAGAGCCATCCAACTTCACTGTGGCGATTTGAAGTCCTGGATTTTCTGATGAGTTGGTGGGAAAAATGGTACCACCACCCACATAACTTGAGCCAAGAGAATTAACAGTCGAGGACGTTGAATCTGCCATAATCTGTCACACAACAATAAAAAAACTCCAAAAACACAACAAATTCTGTTAATAAATCAAAGGGTCTCCTCAGACCATAAACAATAACAATGTCTCCTTAAACCATTCCCAAAATATCCAAATACATACTCTTTTTAAGGAGCACTGCCCGCTTATATATAGCCAGACAACATCCTTCTTACTATCCGGAACCTCTCTGTAGGCTAAATTTTTTTTTACCCAAGCTCTTCTAGGTTTTGGAGACCAACTATCCCAATTTACCCAACCCTAGAAGAGTAAAAAAGAAATTGTAAAACTTAAAAATACATGTTTTCGATCACAAAACAGAAACATAGAAAAACATATATAGGCAACGTCACACGATGTCACAAATAGCCTAAGGTGGCTGTCGCACAAGTAGCAAGGCTACTGAAAGGTGTGGAAAAGTGTTGCTTCTGATACCAAGTAGAAATACAATGTAGAAGAAAGATAAGAGAAATATGTAAAAGGTTTGAATGAGATGAATCACTCATTCACAGCGCTAATATTTATAGATAAAAAAGAGCACATGCTCATATTACAAGAAAGAAAACTAAATTAAATCTAAATCAAATCACAATGTATTCTAACGCATATTCTATGGCTATAGAATATTTTGCTAATATGGTAAGTCATTCCATAAATCATGGCTATCATATATGCTAACACTCGCAACTCAATGGTTAAAGTGCGCAAGCTTAGTGAGATAATACATTTTTCCTATTCTTACTATAACCTAAAAAATGAAGAACTTATAACCTAAAAAATTTGGGGAACACAATTTTAAAAAATAAGATGAAGAAACTAATACAAGAAACATAGAGAGGGAGAGAGGAACACACTGTCAGCTGAAAAATGAGGCTGCCAAGTGCTGGACATCCCTTTTTTCTCTCTTGAATTCATACAGATAATAGGTATTAATTTGATTGAGACTGCCAAGGGAAGGATAAAGTTAACTTGCTTTGAGATTATAAGGAAATATTTGAGAACATTTGATTCAATAGAAGCTATGACCAAGCTATGACTTTACATGATTTGAATAGCTGACCGAATTAGTTGGGCTGTGGCCTTGTTAACTTGAGTGTGTGTATTCCTCGTGTACATGGATTAGCTCCTCTTTTCTTAATAAAAGAAGAAAAGGGGTAATTGTAGTGAACTGTGATCATAATACAAATCTTTCACTGGTGTTTTTTTTTTTTTTTTGGTTACTTGGAAAAAATCTACTTTTTTATTTTATTTTATTTTATGTGATAGGCTCAAGAAGGGGCCGATGTTTCTGGCGTTTTGACGGTGATGACTCTGGGGATGTAAGTTGAATAGGTTTTACATAGTTTTCGTGCTTCTCACACAAAATAGCTGTCTTAATATAATTATGTACACACAGGTTCTATGCTACATTTGCTAGGACTGCTTTTAAGGGTGATGGTCAACAAAGCTTGCATCATTTCTGGTATGTTTCATTTATTCTTATTTGTAACTTTAAATAGCCTGTCTGTTTATTGACTTCATTGGTTTAATTATGAGTGGAGTTCCTCATGTATGTCAATATTTTATTTGCAAAAAAAAAAACTAAGGAAAAGTGCATACTATTTCCTTCACAATCTCTTACCATAACATGATGAGTTATAGTAGTTCGTCTTAAGTTTATTGGGATTTCAAAACTTTATAGATTTGTTATACACTATTGAAGAGTTTGTCTTCAAGTGCAACCTCATGATCTTGTTCAGATTTGTTTGTACTTCTAAATTTCAAATTTCGGTGCTCCATTAAAGAGAAATGAGGTTTTGCAAAGAAGAAAATCAATATGCAAACTTGTGACATCCCACATCGCGTGGCGAGGAGAAGTTCTTGGCACTTGTAAGGGGAATGCCTCCTACTTGTGTGGACACGTTTTGAAAACCGTGAGCATAGAGAGTGCAAGGCGGACAATATCTACACAGTATGGGGCAGGTCCTGATAGATGCTATCAGAGACAATCCCTTGCCGGAAATGGCGGGAGCGTGCTCAAGCCTATGAGGATCAGGCTAGCGAAGACACCGGGTCCCAAGAGAGGATGATTGTGATGTACCACTTTGCATACATCGCAATGAAGAGAAGTTCTTGGCACTTATAAGGGGGATGCTTCTTACCTGTGTAGGCGCGTTTTGAAAACCTTGAGCACGGAGAGTGTGCAAAGCAGACAGCATCTACACAGTTTGGGCAGGCCTGACAAAACCACTTTGCAAAGTTTAGTCTAGACTTCCCTCTGGACACTTCGTATTTTGGGAGACCCAATAGATTCGTTCTCTATTTGCTTTGTGTAGACATTATGTTCATCACTGTTAGAGTTAGAGAATGATTATTGTTTTACTTGTTTACTTTGGAGCATTATTGCAGTTACTTATTTATTTATTATTTTTTTAAATCTCAATATATATAAGAGGTGTGGTGTAGAAATCCTACAACTATCAGATTACGTTCTCTGATATATCTTCTTCTTCTTCTTCCACTTCTCTATAACCCTAGAAACAAATTCCCCTCAAGCTCTAACTTGGTATCAGAGCATCGTATTGAAGCCAATAACTCATCTTTGTCAAGTTGTAGAACATCCAAAGGGGTTGATGTCGACTGCTGACTGGGATTTAACATCAGCACTTTTTGGGTTGAAAATGGATTGCCTGAATTTTCTGGGATTTATGGTGGTATTTGTGTTTCGAGTTGAGGCTGTTTGAGTGGAATTTTCATTTTTCAAAACTTTTTCCAAGTTTCAGCCCTTTTGCTTTCGATCTGGATTTGGGAGCCTTTTTAGTTGTTTTTATTGGTTGAGTGATGTAGAAGAGGCTAGTGTGAGTGATTTCGAACCAGAAGAGAGAACGAGAGTGGGAAGAAGAGAGAGGAAAGAAGATAGGAGAGAAGAAGAATGTGATGGAGAAGAGATCTGTAATTCAGTACTCAATATTCAATATTCATCAAAGGTAATAGTAGAAATATAAAGAGAAGAAAAAAAGAGAGAATTGTGTAAAGGCTTGAATGAGATAAATCACTCATTCACAACTCTAATATTTATAGATGAAAAGAGCACATGCTCATATTACAAGAAAGGAAACTAAATCAAATCACAACATATTCTATAGCATATTTTATGGCATATTCTATAGCATAATCAAATCTTTGTTAATACGGTAAGTCATTCTATAAATTGTGGCTATCATATTTGCTGACACTCCCCCTCAAGTTGGTACGTGGATATCTGCAATGCCCAACTTGGACAATGCATTCTCAAATACAATCTTGCTGATGGCCTTTGTAAGAATGTCTGCAAGTTGCTGAGAGCTTGTGATAAATGGAGTGCAAATCTGACTAGCGATGATTTTCTCTCTGATGAAGTGCCGATAAATAAATAAAAAATGTCTCCTTAGACCATAAACAATTAACAATGTCTCCTCAGATCATAAACAATTAACAATGTCTCCTCAGACCGTAAACAACCAACAATGTCTCCTCTGACCATTTCCCTTCATACACATGTTTAAAACATGTAGATGGAAGAATCAACAATGTCTCCTCAGACCATTTCCCTTCATACATATGTTTAAACAATGTAGATGAAAGAATTTCGGTAGGTCATGTATTTCTACTACTATGAAATTCATAAATGAAGTAATTAAAACAATGTCTCCTCGGACCATAAAAAGAAACAACTATGTCAGGTGGTGCTAAACTCGCAACGCCCGAATGGGTGGTGCCGAACTCACAATGCCCTTATTGCAGTTAGACCACTCTGGCTCTAATACCGAGTAGAAATATAAAAAGAAGAAAAAAGAAGAGAATTGTGTAAAGGCTTGAATGATAAATCACTTATTCACAGCTCTAGTATTGATAGATAAAAAGAGCACATGCTCATCTTACAAGAAAGGAAACTAAATCAAATCACAGCACATTCTATAGTATATTTTATGGCATATTCTATAGCATAATAAAATCTCTGCTAATACGGCAAGTCATTCCATAAATTGGGGCTATCATATCTGCTAACAGTAATTAATACAATACACATGCCTATGCATATATAGGCAAACCAAAGAAACATAAAGTCAAAAATAATTGCTACTATATTTAATACAATCAATAATAGTCAACAAATGGTTGCTATAAGTCCATAAGTCTAGGGAATCATACAGCTGATCCTATATTCGGTGCCAGAAGACTTTCTATCCTTGGCATTGGCGCCTATAGTAGGGTACGTATAGGGGGTAGTGCATGGGATTCAGTGTCATCCATCAGTGAGATTCATCACATATGGTGCGTTTGGACTGGGAAAGACCTTGATTGCTGGTTGTTTATTGATTTGCTGCATCTGGAACGACTTCTTTGGATCTAAGGGGTTGGGCTGACCTGTTTTCTATAAATATGAGGCTATTTTTGGAACTTTCTGCCTTCTAAATCGTCTTTGGATGCTTGGGCTTCCAGAATTTGTACTTGAACTTGCCTCCAGATTCATCTTAACCTTGCCAAGCAGGTTTTGCACTCTGTTTTTTAGTTTCTGATCCTTTATTGAATCTGTTCGAGCAACAAGATTTGAAGGACTATTTAACGAATTGGAATGTTGTCTGTTGTCTAGAGTTTTTGTCCTACATTTAAGGAGGGCTTTGGTTCAAGCAATGTGGTTCATAGAATAGAGGATTCATTGTTGGGTAGTTGTGGAGGTATCTTAGAGAGCTTAGTTTTTTGAAGGAAACATCATCTTAAAATGAAGCATCGCCATGGAAGAACAAAGAGCAGCGTTTTCTGTATAAAAAAAATAGGCCTAAGTGGTAGTATCCCTGTTGTGATAAATAGGCAAAGCAATACATTTTAGCTTGTATGTTGTATTAGTTTAAGCCTATAACTTTTCAATTGGATGATCGGATCTCCACAAACGATAAATAGTTCATATTGTTATTGAATTCATTTGCAATCTTCCTGCTAGTTCATTTTGAGCTTCTCCCCGCCAATGGCTGCCTTTCAACTGACTTGTTATTTTTGCATGTTTTTGCCCATCATGCATATCATCTCTGTTTATATCTACTAAAGAGTTGGTCAAGCTAAAATTTTTTCCCCTCCCTTTTTTTTTTTCAGGGAAATGGTTGCCTATATTGCTAATACATTAATTTTTATTTTAAGGTAAGAGTCAATTTCAGCATTTATAATTTTTTTCTCTCTTTTTAGCATAGTGGTTATAAGAGACTGGAAATGGGAACTATATTCCTCCATGGGCCAACATATGTTGGATGTCTCTCTTTCTACACACACACCCACGCTTGACACATCCCTGTATGTCCATCTATTCTTTATAATTATCTCTCCATCTATCTTTGCACCACTGTTTTCTGTACATATTTTGAATCCACTATGCTGTGCTGCAACTTTGTTGCGGAGTTCTTTTTAATAGATAAGGAAAAACCTGTAGAAGAATTTTTGATCTGTACAATGCTTTGCTTTCGGAAATGGTGGAGGTACTCTCTTCTTTTCATCGTCATCATCATCAACATTTGCTTGTCAACAAATTTAAGTTGTACCAGTTTCCTCTCTTGATGAATTTTTTATACAATTCTTTATCAGAACTGGTGTTAGCCGAAGAGTCAGCATGTTACAGATTGAGAATTCAGCAATATAAGCAGAAATTCAAATAAATCCCATAAGAAAATGTCACCCACTTTTTGTAACTATTTGAGAATTTAGTATTTTTGTAATTGATGGCTTCATGTGCTCTGATTCAATATTTTGATTCTGATTGAGGAGCAGTACTGAAGTGTTTCAAAGAAGGGTTATCTTGACGTAGATCTGCCTCTGGCCTAGATCAATCTAAGTTAAATGGAGTTTCTATCATTCTGCTTAAAAATCAGATAGGAAACTTCATACACCTTTAAAGTTCATAGGATGAAAATAGATTTTTTTGAGGTCCTTATACTCATTATTCCTAGCATTGTATAGACTGGGTATTCATCTTATCAATATCTCAAATCAATGATGGGATCTGTTTGGCAACCAAATGGGCACCCGAATTGGACCGAACCATTTGGCATGCTATAGTCATTGATATGTCTCTTTACACATGAATCTTTATCTCTAAAATCATACACAAATGGAAGTTTAATGTTATAGAAACCTCTGCTTAGCATCACACTTGCATTTTGCTGATGAGCCAATGAACTATAATTTGAACTCAATGTGAAGTGAGATGGTATGGGAACACAAAACATTGAATATGCCATTTCAATGAAGTCTTGTTTTCCTTTTTGGTTTATCAAAATGGGAAATGAATTTTCAGGAAGTCAATAACACCAATTGCTTTCCATGCTTTAATAATATTTTCTCTCTCTCTCTCTCTCTCTCGTTTTTTTGGTTCTTTTTTGCTTTTGCAGTGGCGTTGTTATAGCTGAAGGTATTCTCAGCAGTGACAGCGTTTTTAAAAGCCACGGTAGTCTTTAACTTCCAAAATTCTCTCCTATGCACACATATACGCATTTGCTCGTGTTTGCTTGTGTTATGTTTCTTAGTTTCTTCCTTTTATTTGGATGTGTTTATATTGGATGAGATTTTAATGTAATTATGGTATGGATTTGAAGGTAATAGCACACTGTAATTTTTAGACAGAGGGGAGTGCTAGGATAGAGGGCCAATTAGGCTTAAGGTTATCAATGAAGGAAACTCTTTTGTAAATAACAGGGCATTAAAGGGCTGTTTATTAAATTATATTCAGGCAATAGAATAAAATGGGGAGAAGATGAGATAAAATCTCGATTTATTGAAAATAATGGTGTTTTACCATTTAAAAGAGTTAAACAATAAGCAAATTTTCTAGTTAAATTATGTATTGAACTATGGCTTATATAAATAAAAATATAGCTTACCTGAAATGTAAATTATTGAGATTTCAAACTAGAAGTAAATAAAGACTTTCTAAACCCTGTATGTGGTCTAACCATCCTTAGGAAGAAAAAGAGTTGAAAATATTAATTATCAAAGTTCTAATGAACTGGACACCAAACCATAAATTTACTAAATCATCTCTACTCTATAAATTGCCAAAATAGACTTGTATTATGGAAAAATTGGTGTTTCCATGTGGATTCAATCAAGCTTCGCTAAGAGCATCTCTTGAGAGAATTTGAGTGTTCAACTATAGGAAGCGTATCAACTTTAGAGTAAAAACTACTGCTCGATCAAATATCGATACAGGATTATAGGGTGCATAGATGTTTTAGTGCAATTGAGCAAAAACAGTACTTGGAGGTATCACTTGACTGCTCATATATTATTCTCTATCTTTTCCCCAAATTTACTATTGAAGTGATTTTTTCCATGCTTTATATAATCTGTTAATTTAAATAACCTTTTGCTGTGGCCTTCAGAACTCATTGAAATTTCTTCCTACTCATGTTACTTTTGAGGCAGGAAATTCATGGGGCTACCTCATTCTCCTCTATGTTTTTGTCCAAGTCTCTCGTATCGTTGTTGTTGGAGTATTATATCCATTTCTGCGGTATTTTGGCTACGGTTTGGATTGGAAAGAAGCTACAATTCTTGTATGGTCTGGTTTGCGAGGGGCTGTGGCATTGTCCCTTTCATTGTCAGTGAAGGCAAGTTCTCCCTCATATATTCTTCCAACTACATGTCTTTGATAGTAGTATTTCTCAAACTAAAATTTGAAATGCTGAACTAGCAGGTCTAATTTAAGCCTAATTGTATTAATTTAGTACATGTTTTGAGTCTGACAAACAAATAAGTTGATTAATGAACAACTTCTGCTCAGGTTTTGGAACATGACTGTCTGACCTGATATGAAACATTTATTAACTTTCACGATGATGCATTCATGGCATGGACAATTTTTTCAGATGTCTCCGAAGAGACACGACATGGACAATTTGGACATGCTTATTGGACTGAGTCCTATTGAAGCAGGCAGAATTTCTAATTTCCTGCAATGGAATTTATGTTTTTTAGAAACTTTCCATATTCTGAAATTTTCCTTAGTTTGTTTAATTTCTGATTTTCAGCAACTTTCCTATTTTAGTTTTATTTTATATTTGGTAGTTAGCTAATATAAGGCTAGGATTGGGGAGGAAGAAATTCTATATAAAGCCTTGTAATTTCTAGGATTTAATCAGTTTTAGTTGAAGAGATTATTTTTACAGCAAATAAAATTTGCTTTGCAATTATTTTCAATTTCTCCCTTTCTCTTGCATTGTTATTTTTCTATTTCGTTTCAAAATTGCTATGAAGACAATTTGATCGTCTCTTCTTGGTAAGGCGGCATCAGTTTGGTATCAGAGCTTAGGTTCGGCTTTCCGGCTGCTCAGTCATGCCTCTACGACAACAACTGAGAGGAGGAAATCGTAGGATGTAAAATTTGGCTGAACCCTTACCCAAGCAACACTAAAGCGAGATAGAGTTTTTGCGGGGACAAGTTGAGTTGTTGACTCAACTATTGGGTCAACGTGTTGTCAACACGCTGGTTGATGACAATGTTTCGGTGGATAAGGATTTGTCAGACACCGAGACTATTACGAAAAATTCATATTTTTCATGTTATAGATCACTTGATGACTCGATGAGTGGACTGATCGTTGTTGGCTAACAAAAATCAATTTCCAGATTTCTGATTTTTATGAAGAGGATTTTTTCAATCCTTTTTGCAGCAATACAACACCTAAACCAACACCTATTTTACTTGATGAAAGTCGTTGGGATGGTGAGTTTATGGAGGAAATTCCTGAATTTGTAGGAAATCTTGGTGGAGAAGAAAAACAACTTTTGATCGAGGGAGATGATGCAATCCCATTGGTCAAACCAAAATATGATGATTATCAGGAGGAAGAGGATGATATCATATATGGCGATATAGGTGGATTCTTGGTTATGCAAAAGCCACTATTGATTCTGAAACATGAGGATGATAAGGAAGCTACAAAAGAAAGATCTCAAGATGAAGTATGCCTGGTTGATCATGAAGATTTTGGATCCATGGAGATGAAAAATAATGGATTTTACTTTTATGATGTGGTTTGGGATGAATTCTTGGAGCGCAATACAACTACTAGGCGGTTGTTGGAAGAAAAATTAAAGTTGATTAAACTTCTAGTTCAGGATACCGAATTTTGCGAACTCAAAGGACATCTAGCAAAATTCGTGTTTGTTCTGCAATGTATTCTTTGTTAGTATAAGAAGATTAAAGTATTTGATTTGAGTTCGGAAAAGAAGAAAGAAGGGATGGAAAGCCATGCTCGGATTTTTGATTGATCGTGGAAAATTGCTCCAAACTCGAGGGCGAGTTTTTTCCAACACGGGGAGACTGATGCAGATAGAATTCTAATTTCCTGCAATGGAATTTATGTTTTTTAGAAACTTTCCATATTCTGAAATTTTCCTTAGTTTGTGTAATTTTCTGATTTTCAGCAACTTTCCTATTTTAGTTTTATTTTATATTTGGTAGTTAGCTAATATAAGGCTAGGGTTGGGGAGGAAGAAATTCTATATAAAGCCTTGTAATTTACGGGGTTTAATCAGTTTTAGTTGAAGAGATTATTTTTACAGCAAATAAAATTTGCTTTGCAATTTCTTCTTTTCTCTTGCATCGTTATTTTTCTATTTTGTTTCAAAATTGCTATGAAGACAATTTGATCGTCTCCTCTTGGTAAGGCGGCATCACCTATTTCCTGAGCAGTCTTTGTTTGCTGGATTGGTACAAAAAGTTCATAAATGCTTGAAAAGATTTAACAGAAAGCACTTCATTTTCCTTTTGGATACCCATCTAAGACAAGTTCATGGCCAATTCCACCCCTGCATCCCCTCCCACCCTCACCCTCACTGCCCCTCTTCCCATCCAGAAAGGATAAAATGAAAAAGGAAAAACATAAAACTACAAGAGAATCATAGTTTGCCTAATTATCAATTTCCTTGAAACTCGTTAAGGTGTTGCCTTTCCTTAGTGTTGAACCAGGACCATAGTTGTGAAGTTGGCATTGCTTCCACCAGCTCTACGCATTTCTGTGAGCCTATTAACCGAGTGATCTCTCCATCTCAGTTTTCTAGAAGAACTGCAGTGTTCGTAGAAGTCTTAGAACTCCTTTCATCTTTATCCTATTTCCAAATCACTTTTACTTATATTCTTATTGTTTTATCTATATCCTGTTGTGGCTCGAATTTGGTGAAGGGTCATGTTGCGACCCGTTTTCGACCCGACGACCCGTTGGATGAGTTTTGTGTGGGCCTAAGGCCACCAAAATTTTGACCCGTTTTTGCTTGTGGGTCATGGATCCTAATTAGTACTCTCTTGTAGACCTGTCAATGGACCTGATTCTGATCCGATTACTCGGATATGGATTGAACAAAAAATCTGACAACCCGATTACGATCCGAATTTGATTCCTTAACAAATCGGATATAGATTTATGCTGACCCGACCTGATAATAATCCGATCCGATTAAATATATATATATATAATAATATTCTATATCCTGTTGTGGCTCGAATTTGGTGAAGGGTCGTGTTGCGACCCGTTTTCGACCCGATGACCCGTTGGATGAGTTTTGTGTGGGCCTAAGGCCACCAAAATTTTGACCTGTTTTTGCTTGTGGGTCGTGGATCCTAATTAGTACTCTCTTGTAGACCTGTCAATGGACCTGATTCTGATCCGATTACTCGGATATGGATTGAACAAAAAATCTGACAACCCGATTATGATCCGAATTTGATTCCTTAACAAATCGGATATAGATTTATGCTGACCCGACCTGATAATAATCCGATCCGATTAAATATATATATATATAATAATATTTTATAGGGTTAACTAGTTAAGTGCAAAAAAAAACCCTTGATATATATGGTATGTGCAGAACTAGTCCCTACTTTTTGAAAATGTGCATGTTAGTCCATAAAATTAAAAAAAGGTGCAAATAAGCTCCTCTGACCACTTTTTGACAAAAATTAAATATGAAAACCCTATTTTACCCTTTGATTCCCATTTTGCCCCTCACCCATATGTGCATATAACCTCCCTATACCCATTTCCTTGCCCCTCTCTCTTTAGGGTTAGAAAATGAAATAAACTGAAATAAATTAGTAGTATTCTTTACGCCCCGGAAGTTCAGAGGAAGCATATGGATCACATCACTCTCACGAATAGGGGGCATAAGGTGAATCTGAGAAGCAAGCGCATCTCTTTTGCTTTTCGATTGAAATCTTGTTGTACCTTATCACATTTAAAACCAACCCCTATCTAAAGGAAAGAAAGTCCTCTGAGTTGATCTCCCAACCTTAAAGCGAGCATATACCTTAGGCTATTGTTTACCTTTACATTTCTGAAGGAATCTCTTGCAAAGAAGACCCTTGACTTTAAGGCAAGCAAGGAATGCAGAAGTTGGTCTTCCTGCTTACTATGAAAAAACCCTTTAATGGCTCGGCCTAGACATTCCGTCTTGACCCGCCTAAATGTTTTACACTCCGAGACCTTTTACTCAGGTCAAAATAAAAGAAAAAAGAAGATAGAAAAAATCAGTTGTAGAACCCTTGAAACGAGGCCACGCTTCACCCAGTCCGTTCCGAGCTGGCAGGACAGGAATAGGCGACTGAAAGTGAATCTGAATCACTCCAGCCGGGAGTGTGATCTACTTCATCGGAAGAATCCTATGTGTAAGGGCGGCTAGCAGTGGTGCGATTATGTGTGGAGATGGCGGCATAAGTGTCTTATATAGTAGGGGATTGTTTGGTTTCAGTTTTTATTATATTCAGTTTTAGGTTTCTTTGGTTTAGCTGATCCCAATTTTATACAAATTGAGGTTTATTTTATTCTTGCCCCAAACAAACACAATTTTACACAAATTGGGCAAAAGGGTCATTTTACATGGCCTTTATTTAGGTTATTAATTTATTCAATAGAAGTGAGGGTATTATCGTCATTTTATACCACACAGGGACCTATTTGCGCCAAATTGATTGTATAAGGGGGTTTTATACCACACAAGGACCCATTTGCACTATATCTATAGTAGAGGGGTTTTTTTTGTACTTAACCCTATTTTATATTATATATATATACAATACTCCTATCAGATTTAAATTAGATATAACAAAAAAAAAAAAAAAAAAAACGTAATCATAATGTTATATGTACAATAGTGTGGTGTTCTCACCCACAGACTAATAAATCTCTTAGTATACATATTAATAGTGTCATAATATTTATTCATTAACAAAGAGTAAATGATCTATTTTTTTTTTTTTTTTTTCTTTTCATTCCATATTTTATTTATCTTTTGTTTTCTATCATTTTTTTCTATTCATTGTTTTTTATTCTCTTTTGACATTATATTTTTTTCTTCTCTCTTTTATTTTATTTATTTATTTTTTATTTTTTTGATAAGTAAGAAATGCATTGAAAGCGTTCAAAATGGGAACGCATCCCAAGAGAACAAACACAGGGCCAAAACAACCCTTTAAGCCTTCAAAGAGGCCAAGAAAACAACAATATCCTCATAAGATCTAAAATCTCTACCCGAAACCCAACAAAAAAGAGTGGAAAGAATAGAAAACTTAAGAAAAGAAATAGGCCTCTCTTTTCCCTCAAAATATCTTTTATTCCTCTCCAGCCAGATGCACCACCACACACAAAGAGGTGTAGCCCTCCAAGCATCACGAGCATGGGCCCCTACAGAGAACCCTCTCCAAGCCTCAACCATCTGTCCAGAAGAGCGAGGCATAACCCAATAGAACCCAAACAAACAAAGCATCAAGTCCCAACATTCCTTAGCAATGAAGAAGAAGATGATCCACTGTCTCATTATCCTGAAGACACATGAAGCAGAGGTCCAAGCAAAAAAAGCCACCTTGAGAGGAGCCTTAGAGCGCCAAACAGACTTCCACTGGAAGGATCCTACAGGCTCAGCTGTAAGACACCTGAAGAAGGAACGAACAACAAAGCGACCTTGCGGATTTGGCTTCCAAATCGAACAATCAGAATCACCAGCCATAACGCTCTGACGATACAACGCCTCCAACAAAAGAGTGACATCCTCGACCTCCCAATCTTGAAAAGGATGCCTGAATCGAACATCCCAAACTAGTCTCCCATTATCAAGACAATAACAGTCAACCACCTTGGCTTGTTTATCCGAAGCTATCCTAAACAACCGAGGAAAGCGAGGGCAAGAGAAACCTCCCCGCACCAAACATCCTCCCAAAAACTGATCCGCCTGCCATCCCTAAGTCTAAAACGAACATAAGTGGAAAAGACAGTCCACCCCTTCCGAATAGACTTCCAAACTCCCACACCCCTCGGGCCACGCACCTCAAGAGAGCACCACCCTCCTCTACCTTCCCCATATCTACTAGCAAAAACCTTCCGCCAGAGCCAGTGCCTCTCCACCCCAAACCTCCACAACCATTTTCCAAGGAGAGCTTTATTGAAAGGCACCAATTTTCGAAGGCCCAACCCACCATAACGAATCGGCTTGCACACTTGCTCCCACCGAACCAAATGAAACTTAAACTCCTCCCCTCTTCCCCCCCAAAGAAAATTGCGTTGCAACTATTCAATTCTCTCGGCAACAGAGAGAGGAATCTGAAAAAGTGAGATGAAATAAGTAGGAAGGCAAGAAAGGGTACTTTTAATCAGAGTAACCCGCCCCCCTTTAGAGAGATATTGCTTCTTCCAACCCGCCAATCTCCTCTCAAATCTGTCCACAACAGGATCCCAAACCCCCACACACCTCAAAGGAGTTCCCAGAGGGAGCCCTAAATAGGAGATAGGAAAAGAGCCAGTACGACAACCAAGAATGGCCGCAAGCGAAGCTAACTTAGGCACCTCCCCTACTGGCACCAAAACACTCTTGCCAACATTCACCTTGAGGCCAGAAACGATTTGGAACCAAATCAGAACACATCTCAAATACCTGAGTTGGGACACCTCTGCATCACAAAACACAAGCGTATCATCTGCAAACATCAAGTGGGAAATCTCCAACTGGCTGGCAACATCCCTACCCACCCGAAACCCAACTCAACAGCCCTCCTCAACATCTAACTGAAGGCCTCCATCACAAAAAGGAACAAAAAGGGGGAGAGCGGATCCCCCTGTCTTAGGCCCCTCGTGCTAAAGAAAAAACCCGTCAGAGCACCATTCACAAGTACAGAGAAACGAGCACTGGAGATGCAAAAATGCTAGGAAGCACGGACACTCCGAAATAGGCAAAGAATCCGTGTCGGACACGGACACGCGTCGGACACGGCCCGACACGTGTCGGACACGGCAAAAAGCGTGTCTGGAATTTTTTATTTTTTAAAAATTTTCGGACACGGATTGGACACGGATTGGACACGGCACGAACACGCTTGCGACACGCCAGGGTGTGTGTTCGACACGCGTGTCTTATTTTTGGGGGTTTAAAAGATAATTTTTAAAAGAAAGTTGGGTTAAAGTACAAATATATAAAGTTATTTACTTACTTATGTGGTCAGAACATAATAATTTTAAACTTTCAAGGTTAATACGTAATTTTAAACAAAAGAGATAGATATTTATGGCAGTCATTACACTATTACAAGATCAGATTCAAAGGACGGGGGTTGTGCTCTCTCAAACTGACGACGAAGCTCTGCAACTTCCTGCTGCAGATCAAAGCGACTCCTTCCAGCCTCCAGGCCAGTCTCTCTCTCTCTTTCTCTCTCTCTCTCCTCTCTTTTCTTCCTCCTCCTTCCTCTTTTCTTTCTTTTTCTTCACAAACCCTAGTTTCTTTCTTTCTTCTTCATTTTTTTTTTCTTTTTCCTTTTTCACAAACCCAGATTCTTTCTTTCTTCTTCATCTATTTTTTTTTTTGTTTTTTTTTCGTTTTCCTTTTTCAAAACCCCAGTTTCTTTCTTTTTCTTTTCTCTCTCCTTTTTTTTTTTTCCCCCGTTTTTCACTAACCCCAGTTTCTTTCTTCTTCATCTATTTTTTATTTTTTGTTTTTTGTTTTCCTTTTTCAAAACCCCAAATTCTTTCTTTTTCTTTTCTCTCTCTCCTCCCCCCCCTCCACTAACCCCAGTTCACAAACCCGTCTTCTTCTTTTCTGGTATTTTTCCTTTTTTACAGACCTTAATTTCTTTCCTAATTTCTTTCTTCTTCTTCTTCTTCTCTGTTGTCTTTATTCTTGCTTTAAATTTTAGCTTGTGTGAGTCGTGACTTATTGACCTGTAAATGAATTGGATTTCATCTTTGATTTAATTTCAGCTATTGCATATGACTTATGAATCTGTAGCAAATAGGAATTTATTTTTTCTTTGCTGACTGTTCTTTCTTTGCTGACTGCTGTAAGTATGGATTTTTTTTCTTTTCTTTTTATGTCTAGGGAATTAGACATGTCATTGTCTACATCAGTTGCTAGTTGTACTCCTCAATTCGAACAAGATGATAACAAACCACTTTGGAACTATGTCACACAATTAGAAAAAATTGGTGGTGGAGGAGGAAATTTTTTATTCAAATGCCACTTTTGTAATAACGAATTCAGGGGGTCTTATACAAGAGTTAAAGCCCACTTGTTGCAGAACACTGGTATGGGTATTCGTATATGTCCAAAAGTCACATATCAGAATATTGCAGAAATGCAAAAAGCAATTGAAGAAGCCGAATTGAGAATTAAAAATTCTAAACCAAAAAAAGTTCCTTTGCCGCCGTCTAGTGCATCATTGGGTGGTACTACTAGTCTCACTCAGGAGGCTTATGTACCAAAGAAAAGAAAGGCAAGTGGGGGTGCCATTGGGAAGGCATTTAATAATGAGGCTCGGGAACAATTGCACTCAGAGATTGCTAGGATGTTTTATTCCGCAGGATTGCCGTTTCATCTAGCAAGAAACCCGTATTATGTGAGTTCATACAACTATGCCGCAAATAATCCTCTGTCAGGTTATTTGCCTCCGGGTTATAATCTATTGAGAACCACTCTACTTCAAAAAGAAAAGGCAAATATTGATAGATTATTGCAACCAATTAGGAGTACATGGAAGGCAAAGGGTGTTAGCATTGCAAGTGATGGTTGAAGTGATCCACAAAGGCGGCCTTTAATTAATTTTATGGCTATGACAGAAGGAGGTCCCATGTTTTTGAAAGCTGTTGATTGTTCCGGTGGAATTAAAGACAAGTTTTTCATTTCCAATTTGTTGAAGGAAGTCATAAATGAGGTTGGCCCCCAAAATGTGATCCAAGTAATTACAGACAATGCCCCAAATTGCAAGGCTGCTGGACAACTAATTGAAGGGCAATTCCCTCACATTGTTTGGACACCTTGTGTGGTCCATACTCTTAATCTTGCCCTCAAAAATATTTGTGCTGCAAAAAATGTGGAAAAGAATGAAATTGCATATGCAGAGTGTGGTTGGATTCTTGATTATGCTGATGAGGTTACAATAATAAAGAATTTCATCATGAACCATTCAATGAGATTAGCTATTTTCAATGAGTTTGTCAGCTTGAAGTTGCTTTCAGTTGCAGAGACACGCTTTGCTTCTGTTATTGTGATGATGAAAAGATTTAAACTTATAAAAGGTGGTCTCCAAGCAATGGTCATAAGTGACAAGTGGACTTGCTATAAGGAGGATGATGTAGGAAAGGCCGATTATGTGGGAGAGAAGCTGTTGGATGAACAATGGTGGGGAAAGATTGATTATATCCTTTCCTTTACTTCACCTATTTATGACATGCTAAGGGCTTGTGATACCGATAAGCCTTGTCTTCACTTAGTTTATGATATGTGGGATACAATGATTGAAAAAGTGAAGATGGCAATATATAGGTATGAAAGAAAGCGACAAAGTGAAAGTTCTTCCTTTTATGAAGTGGTGCATGGGATACTTGTAGCTCGTTGGAACAAGAACAATACTCCGCTTCATTGCTTGGCACATTCACTAAATCCAAGGTAAATCATTAGATATTAATTTGTAAGCTAAAGAAGTTTTAATCTTAGTTTAGAATTAAGGAAATTAAATTATGAATTAAATGCGTTCTCTTATTTATTGTAGGTACTATAGTGATGTGTGGCTTAGTGAAGACCAAAGTCGAGTTCCACCACACAAGGATTTAGAGGTCTCAAGAGAGAGAACAAGGTGCCTTAAAAAATACTTTAGTGACCCACAAGAGCGTTCAAAAGTCCAATTGGAGTATGCTAATTTTTCATTAAACTCGGGGGAATTTGGGGAGAGTGATTCTATATGTGATAGATATACCATGGATCCTAAAAGTTGGTGGGTTGTACATGGTTCATATGGTCCCTTGCTTCAAGAGTTAGCTTTGAAGTTGCTTGTCCGGCCTTCTTTCTCCTCATGTTGTGAGAGGAACTGGAGTACTTATTCTTTTATTCACTCATTGAGAAGGAACAAGATGGCGCCACAACGGGCTGAAGATTTGGTTTTCATTCATAGTAATCTCCGTCTTCTGTCAAGGAGAACCCCACAGTACAATGAAGGACGAACTAAGATGTGGGATATTGCAGGAGATGCATTTGATTCATTTGGTGATGTTGGGGTGCTTGAGGTTGCAAACCTCTCACTTGATGAGCCAGAATTAGAGGCGGTATTATTTACCGATGATGGAAGTGTTAATGATGATGAGATTCATGAGACAATTGATGATGAACAACAATAGATGAATGCTGATATGTTCTTTTTTTTTTTGTTTTGGACTACCCTTTTGGTATTGTAAATGGTAAAGTCCTAGGTCAAATGATGGATGGGAATAGATGATAGTACACTGACTTGTTTTTGTATCTTTTTTGGGGACTAGCCTTTAGGTTTTTGTGAATGTTAAGTGCTAACAGTACAGTCTTGAATGTTAAACAATCATGAATGTTAATAGTCCTTTCAGTCTATGCTTTTGTATTTGGAGTAAAGTTGCAATGATGATTAAATGATACTAGTTATTATTCTAATATCTTGTTTTTTATTTGGTTTTATAACTCTGCAACATTGTTCTTTTATTGTTTATTAGTTATAAGTTATGATTTGTATATATTTTCCATTGTGAGGTTGATGAAAAATAGTAACACTCGGTAATTTCTAAAGTACTACATCATATATATATATATATATATATATATATACACTATTCGCCGTGTCAGTGTCCTAATTTTTTTGGATTTGCCGTGTCGCCGTGTCCGTGTCGTGTCGTATCCGTGTCCCGTATCCGTGTCCGTGCTTCTTAGCAAAAATGAATCCATTTCCTCCACCGCTCCCCAAAACCCATCCTCTCCATCAGATAGAGAAGGAAACTCCAACTCACATGGTCGTACGCCTTTTCAATATCCAACTTACACAAAACCCCTGGTTCCCCACTACTCAGCCTGGAATCCATACACTCACTAGCAATAAGAACTGAATCCAGAATCTGACGGCCTCCCACAAAAGCATTTTGAGAATCAGAGATCACACCATCCAACACTCTCCTCAACCTAAAAGCAAGAACTTTGGCAATTAACTTGTAAATGCACCCCACCAAACTAATAGGGCGAAAGTCCCGAACATCCAACGCCCCTCCTTTTTTGGGGATGAGAGCAATGAAAGTGGCATTCAAGCTCTTCTCAAAAGACCCCTGGGAATGAAAGGTGTGAAAAGTATCCATCACCTCCTCTTTGACAACCTCCCAGCACTCCAAAAGAAATCTCATGGTGAACCCATCTGGACCTGGGGCTTTATCCCCATTACAGCTCTTCAAAGCGACCAAAACTTCCTCCTCAGAGAAGGGCGCTTCTAGACCTGTACATTCCTCATCAGAAATAGAGTCAAACTGGAGTCCCTCAAGCAAAGGTCTCCATTCCTCCGGCTCAGTGAACAAATGCTCATAGAACTCAGCAATACCTTTACAGATATCATCCTCCTTTAACAAAGTCACCCCCTCCACCCGAATCCTCCCAATATGATTACCCTTTCTATGGGCGTTAGCCAATTTATGGAAAAACTTCGTGTTTCTGTCACCCTCCTTAAGCCACAAAGCTCGAGATTTTTGCCTCTATGAAATCTCCTCTAAAATGGCAATCTCAGCAAATTCAGCCTGGCACTCCAATCTCCTAGTCTTTAAGGAATCCACCAAAAGCCCCTGACACTCCATCCTGTCAATCTCTGCTAGCTCAGCAAAGACCCGATTTTTCCGCCAAACAAGATTCCCGAAGACGGGTCTACTCCCTTGTAGCCCGATATATAAGGGCATTTAGGGTTTGGAGTGGGATGAGAGAGAGGCACTGAAAATGGTACAAAATTGAGAGAGGGGCTGAAACTTGTAATATCCGATTTTACATATAGTGAAGACTTTTACCGGATCTCCATGGTGGACGTAGGCTTTATCGAACCACGTATAAATCTTTGTGTTCTTTGTGTGTGGTGTGTTTACTTTTCTAGTCCTGTTTCGTGATTGTTGCTTGGGTTTACTGTGTTTGTCATAACACCTGTTAAAAGGGTGTCGTCATAGATTGGATGTAAAATCTGTAGTAAAGGGTGATTGAAAATGTTCAACAGCCAGCATTCTATTCTTTGAGATTTTCTATCATTGTGTTATGTTTTTCCTATGTTTCTTAAATGGATGTTTCTCCAATGGCTTTAATTAGTGGAATGTATCTATGGCTGTCAGGTGTTAAAAAGTAGGTATAAAATTTGAAGGCAGTTACTTTGTGTGAATGATGTTTTAAGTTAGGCCTGTACCCATTCCACCCCTCCTATTAGACCGCATTGATGGGACACCACTGGAACTCTCATTTTTGTCTTTGATGAATAGTGCATTCAGGTACATATGCTCCAGGTCTCCCTTGTCAATATTTGGTATCTGACCTTTCGTATGTGCATACACTAACTTGAGCTTGATTCCGGAACTTGAGTCCATATAACAAAGCATCAATGTAAATCATAAAATTCTGGTTTAATGGCTAGAGATGCCACATGGTACATATCCATATTGAGTATTGAAACTTCAAGCTTGACTAGATTACCTGGATCCTTAGTGCATAACATTACATTCCCATTCTCTCATTGTTTAGTGCAGTTCTGGTACCTGACTCTGATTTAATTTTAAATTTATCTACTTTTGGTTGTTTCAGCGTTCTAGCGATGACTCATCCTATATCAGTTCTGAAACGGGGATTCTGGTAAGTTGTTGGAAATGCTTCTTGACTCTCGATTATATGTTATGCCAGGGTGGGGTCAGGGGATTAATTCGTATCATTTGCACACAAAATAGAATAAAATTAAGTATTATTTGCCTGTTGAAAGAATAAAAGGCTGTATTTTGATTCTTTGCATATGATTATATAATATCCGGAATTGGTTTTTGCTTTTTGATATTCTAATGTAATTTTGTTTCTTTCACCATTTTCCATTTGTAGTTTGTTAACTACCATCTACTCCAAAAGCTTAAGCTCTTGGAGAGGGTGCAACTTAAATATATAAATCCTTCAACACGCCCCTCTCACGTGTGGCCTTCTTTCGGTCCAACACGTGTTTTTCAAATTTTTTTTTTTAATTACGGTGGTAGTGAGGTTTGAACTCGAGACCTTTGGCTCTGATACCATGTTAACTACCGTCTACTCCAAAAGCTTATGTTCTTAGAGAGTGTGTAACTTAAATATATAAATCCTTCAACATAGTTTAACCTTTTCTTTTGCAGTTTGTTTTCTTCACTGGTGGAATTGTATTCCTGACGCTTATTGTGAACGGATCAACTACCCAGTTTATTTTACATCTTCTACGTATGGATAAGCTATCAGAACCAAAGGTAAGATTACCAGTTACTACTGATCTCCAGAATATTGCGGCTTGTATCACATGATTTAAATGGTTTACCAGTTTAAGTTACTTCAGAATTTGAGGACTAACATTTAGGTTATATAATACGTGTGTGTATATATATATATACATGTATTATGTCATATTATGTGTTACAATCAAGTTGGGAAATGGTATATCAAGAGTAAATTATATACAAGGAAATAAATTAACTAAATGGATTCTTCACAACATATTTGTGGAATTTGATGAACCCTCACCTGCTTTGACCTTTTTCATTAAGCCTAAATCATGTAATACATACTATATAACCTTAAATTCTTGCGAAGCATCACAAAACAACTTTCTTGTTACGTATTACTTGTATCTACCTTTTGCCATTCTCTGGCCGAATTCTGAACACTCGTTGTTCAGCATGCTCATGTCATTTTCATTGTAGGTTCATAGTTTCATGAATACTCAAAATATGCTTTTTTGAGTACCTGCCAAAACTTGGAGCAGCTACTTTTTGCAAATTACATTAAGGTTAGGTCCACATTGTGCCAAATTCAATACTCTATATTGGCCTTCAGAAGTTACCTAGTTTTATAAAGACAAGTAAACAACGAATTTATTCTTTGTCATTTATGTATGGATTGAATTGCCCCTCATTTTTTTCTTTTCACTAGTATATTAATCTTTAGAGAAAAACATATATTCAACGGATGTAAGTATGGCATTGAAATCTCCAACCGTCAACTGTTTTCGAGTATCATTTACGGGGGAAAGAGGTCTAAAGGCTCAGAGACTTGGTAATTCGCTATTTCTAAATGTCAATTGGATTGCCTTTTTTGGGATTTTTCTTTCCCCTGTTTCTCTTAGGGGGCTTTGTGCCTTGTTATTGGCAAGCTCCAGACCCATTTTGCTCATGGGAGATTTTAATGAGCAAATATCAGTAATTCTCATTGCTACTGTTTTGAAAGTTAAATCAGTCAATAATGTCCACAGATCATTCTAACTTATGTTAAGAGTATGAACTTCAATCACCTCATAACTATAATCTATTTTTCATTATTTTGAAGTTCTAATTGAGCTTGTTGCTTCATCTTACTTGCATTCTATGTTACATGGACTCAGGTACTTGTGTTGGGTGCGGGTATGGATCCACGCGTCGGACGTGTCAACCTTTCAAATAAAAAGACACACCAACACTGCTAATATTCAGCGGCGGAGCCTGGAATTTAGTTCAGAGGGGGCAGCCATAAGAATAATATGAGAAAAAAATTTGAACCAAAAAATAAATAACAAAGGGGGGGGGGGGGGGGGGGGGGGGGGGGGGGGTGTTCATGTCTGAATTTTGATTCTTAAAAATTCTGTGAGACTCGCTGGAAGAAAAAATACATGGGCCTTTTTTGAATTTTGAAAATCTTGTTGAGCAAATGAGTTAGAAAATGAGAGGTTTGTATGTGTTCTTAATCAAGAGAGAAACAGAGAGAGCAAAATCGTATTTACTTTGTATATAAAAACAACTTACAAAACCTAATAAGCCTATGTAGGCTTATATATGTTACAAGGTATATATAATAACACAAACAGCCTATTAACTAAACATAATTACATAACGACCCACTATTATATATATAACTTCTAACACTCCCCCTCAAGCTGGAGAATATAAATCAAACAATCCCAGCTTGGAACAGATAGTTCTTAATCGATTATGACCCAATGCTTTGGTAAACATATCAGCTAATTGATCTTCAGATTTCACGAATGGAGTAGAGATGCTCCCACGTAATATTTTTTCTCGAATAAAGTGACAATCAACTTCAATATGTTTGGTCCTCTCATGAAACACAGGATTTGATGCAATGTGAACTGCTGCTTGATTATCACAGAACAATGGAGTAGGAGCTTTAACTGTCAACCCAAGTTCTTTTAGAAAATGTTGTATCCATGTCAACTCACTAGTGGTATGGGCCATTGCCCTATACTCAGCTTCAGCACTAGATCGAGCTACCACCGTTTGCTTTTTACTTCGCCATGTAACTAGATTTCCTCCTACAAATGTGCAGTAGCCGGTAGTAGATTTCCTATCTGAAGGAGAACCGGCCCAGTCGGCATCTGTAAAACCTTCCACCCTGAGATGACCATTTGGTTTATATAGTAACCCAAAACCTGGAGCTTGCTTGAGATATTGGAGAATCCGAAGAATAGCAATCCAGTGTGACATTCTAGGGGCTCCAATGAACTGACTTACAACACTAACAGCATATGAAATATCAGGTCGAGTGATAGTGAGATAAATTAATTTCCCAACAAGGCGACGAAATCTGCTCGGGTCACTAAATAGATCACCCACATCAGCTACAAGTTTTGTATTTGAATCCATAGGAGTATCAACCGGACGACCACCTAACATACCTGTTTCTTCTAATAAGTCCAACACATACTTTCGTTGGGATAAACTTATACCTGTCTTAGATCTAGCTACTTCAATACCCAAGAAATACCTAAGTTTACCCAAGTCTTTAGTGTGGAATCGATACTGCAGAAACAACTTCAACGTAGCAATGCCTTCAGAATCATCACCTGTGATCACAATATCATCAACATACACCACAAGAATTATGAAACCAGCTTTAGTGCGCTGGTGAAATACCAAATGGTCAGTCTGACATCTCGGAAGACCAAACTTTAATGCCGCCTCAGAGAATTTTCCAAACCAAGCCCGTGGAGATTGTTTCAAGCCATATAGAGCCTTTTTAAGGCGACAAACAGTGTGAAGATACTCCCCCTGAGCAACAAACCCAGGTGGTTGCTCCATATAAACCTCTTCTGCTAAGTCACCATGCAAAAAGGCATTTTTAACGTCTAACTGAAACAGAGGCCAATGCCTATTAGCAGCAAGAGAAATCAAAACACGAATAGAGGAAATCTTAGCAACAGGTGCAAACGTCTCATCATAATCAATACCATAAGTCTGGGTATAACCTTTGGCAACAAGACGTGCTTTTAAACGCTCAACGGACCCATCCGGAAAATACTTCACAGTATATATCCAGCGACAACCAACAGGTTTGACACTTGGAGGTAATGGAACAAGAGTCCACGTGCCATTCGTATGCAAAGCATCCATTTCATCCTGCATTGCTTTCCTCCAATCCGAATCAGACAAAGCATCCTGCACAGTCTTAGGAACAAATGTAGTAGACAACTGAGAGGAAAAACATGAGAATGATGGTGATAAGGAATTATAAGAAACATAATGAGCAATGGGATGTTTAGTAGCACATGAGTGAGGAGCTTTACGAAGTGCAATCGGCAAGGAATCAGACACAGTGGAATTTGTCGGATCCAAAGACTCTGAAGATGATGGAGGAGGCACGACAGCAGATGGCTTTGGTCTTCGTTTATACACCTGTAACGGGGCAGATGAAGGAACCAGAGATTAAGATTGAAGAGAAGGTGAGGGAAGAGCAACTGTAGAAGGAGGCGACTCAAGATTGATATCAAGAAGTGAATCAGTATCTGAAAAATACGGGATGGACTCAGAAAATGTGACATCCGCGCTAATAAAGTACCGTTGAGAAACAGGACTATAGCAGCGATAACCTTTATGAGAGCGAGAGTAGCCAAGAAATACACACTTTGTGGCACGTGGGTCTAGTTTATCAAAACCAGGACCAAGATTGTGGACATAACATACACATCCAAAAACCCTAGGAGGAAGAGAAAACAAGGGAGAATCAGGAAATAAAATAGAATGTGGAGATTTGCCATTTAATACAGATGACGGCATACGATTAATAAGATGACAAGCTGTAAGAACAGCATCACCCCAAAACCGTTTAGGCATACGCATATGAAACAAAAGAGCACGAGTTACTTCTAGGAGATGTCGATTCTTACGTTTTGCAACTCCATTTTGTTGTGGAGTATAAACACATGAATTTTGATGAATAATTCCTTTATCACTAAGATATGTATCAAAGGGAGTTGAAGAATATTCCTTAGCATTATCAGAATGTAGAATATGAATTGGACATCCAAATTGAGTTTTGATTTCTTTGCGAAATTTTTAAAAAATTAAAAATAACTCAGAACGGTCTTTCATTAGAAACAACCAAGTCAGGCGAGAATAGTCATCCACAAATGTCACAAAATAATGAAATTTATTGATTGAAGAATGTTTTATTGGACCCCATACATCTGAATGAACCAAATGAAAAGGACTAGAAACACGATTATTAACCCTAGACTTGAAAGACACGCAATGGTGCTTACTAAGTTGACAAACTTCACATGACAAGAATTTCAAATAACTAAGACTAGGAACTTGACGCTTCAAAACTTGAAGTGACGGGTGACCAAGGCGACAGTGCTACTGGAATGGAGACAGAGAAGACTGAAGAGCCACAGGAGAAGCTTCGAAATCAAAATAATATAAGTCACCGGCTTCATGTCCCGTACCAATTGTCTTCTTCGTCTTGAGATCCTGAAACATACAAGAAGTAGGATCAAATATAACAGAGCACTGGAGAGATTTAGTAAGCTTACTGATAGACATTAAGTTAAAAGGAAACTGCGGAACATGTAAAACAGACGAGAGAGACAACGAATCACTAAGTTGAGTTGTCCCCTAACCTGAAACCTGAATGGATGAACCATTAGCAAGAGTAACACTTTGAGAAGTAGGTACAGAATGAAAATCAGATAGAAGAGAAGAACATCCGGTCATATGATCAGATGCTCCAGTGTCTATGATCCAAGGACTGCGAGTGGAAGACAATAGACATGTGTGTGCAATACCTGACTGGGCAAAGGTAGCCGTGGAAGATGAATTAGATGCTTGCTTATAAGACAAAAACTGAGTATACTCATCCTGTGGAACATGAACTGTATCTGATTCAGCTACATTGTGCGATCCAGAAGCGACATCATTCGGAGAAGAGGAAACTTGATTTGCATAACTAGATGGTTTCCCATGAAGGTCCCAACAAAAGCTCACAGTATGATTAGAAAGACCACAATGAGTACACTTTCTAAATTCCCTGCCACGGCCAAGTCCTCCACGTGAATCACGACCACCACGGGCGGAGCGTCCCCCACGACCTCCACGGTAAGTATTATGTTCACCCTTTGAAACTACCAATGCTAAACACTCACCACTCTGTCCAGTATTCAAATTTGAGGTATTACTTGCTAGTGTAGCACGCTGAAGTCGAGAAAACACCTCAGCAAGAGATGGAAGTGTTGGACTGCTCATAATCTGTGCACGAAAAGGCTCATATGCTGATGATAAACCCGTAAGAAAACGGACAACATTAAAGTCCGCACGCTGTTATTGCATACTGCGAACATCAGCAGTGATGGGCTGATACATATTCAGCTCTTCACAGACTCCCATAACTTTGGAATAATACTCTTCTATACTTTGAGTACCTTGTTCAAGATTAAAGTACTGTTTACATAGCTCATAAACACGGGTGATATTACCTGTCCCAGAATATAACTGCTGCAATCTATCCCATATCTCCTTGGCTGTATCCAAATAAAGTAACGTTGAACTAATTTGGGGTTCAATACTGTTTATCATCACAGTGATGATCTGAGCATCTTCCTTTTCCCATGCATCAAAGGAAGTATCAGTTGCCTTGAGTTTCTCTTTAGTCAAATGAGAACCAAGACCTCTGCCTTTGAGAAAAATGGCAACAGATTTGGCCCACAATATGTAATTCTTCCCATTGAGCTTAACTGAAGTCATGGGAGAATTAAGACTGTTCATGGGTGAAAGCAAATCTGAACTTGAACTTGAGGCCATGTTGAATCCAGCAAAACAGAGAAGAAAAAAGAGAGAAAACAAAAATTCTGTATTCTGGCCGAACCTGGAAGCAGGTCTGTAACGGGTCGGATTCTGAAACTGGGCCGGATCTTGGTGCGGGTCAGGTCCTAATACGGGTCGAATCCTGGTATGGGTCGGATCCTGGTACGGGTCGGATCCTGGTACCGGACCGGATCTGGACTATCCCTGGTTTAGTAAACCGGGATTGGAATAGCACACCCGTGTTGCCAAACACGGGTCTTCTTCTTCACTCTGTCACAAACTCCGGTAAACAATACGGCGGAGGCGACGGCAACCCAACCACGAGCAGCGGCCGAATCAACAAGCAGCGGCCGAATCAACTTCCGGCCGAAAACCAATCTCACCTCTGCAAATCGAGACGAAGAAGCTTCTGCCGGCGACGACGAAGAAACCAGAGACGACGACCACCAAAGAGGAGCTGCCGGTGACGATGAAGAAGGCAGAAACGACGAACACACTTCAGATCTGATTACGGCGAACAAGAAATTGCCGACAGTTACATCAAAACCACATTCACGATCTGAATCACGATTTGAATCACGATTGGAATCGTGATTCACCACCAACCCACCTACTAACTCTCACACTCATGATCATTGTGCTCTGATACCATGTTCTTAATCAAGAGAGAAACAGAGAGAGCAAAATCGTATTTACTTTGTATATAAAAACAACTTACAAAACCTAATAAGCCTATGTAGGCTTATATATGTTACAAGGTTTACATAATAACACAAACAGCCTATTAACTAAACATAATTACATAACGACCCACTATTATATATATAACTTCTAACAGTATGAATTTTGGAAGTTTTTCTAAAGGTCTTTTTAGAATTTTTTTCAGAGTTCAGTCGGGGTACGTGTATAAATATCAAAATTTGTGTCTAAAAATACACGAGAAATTCCAGTGGGGGCAATTGTCCCCATTGGATCTACGTGGCTCCGCCACTGCTAATATTCATATTATTTAATAATTTTATTTTATTTTCCAAAGTAAAATAATGTCTTTATGTAACATAGTGTTCAATATAGGCATTTCACTCATTTTGAAGCAATAATACAATGAAATTGAATTATTGGACCTTTTTTTAGGTGCATGTCCAACCAAAATTGTCCGACACATATCCCACACCCATGTTCGACCGATGTATGTCAGACACGGGTGCTTACCTACTTTTGAAGTGTCCATGTAACATAGCTCACATTAGGTGTGTGTCTGTGTATATGCTTACCTACTTTTTTTATCGTTGTCCTTCTCTGTATTTTATGGCAGAAACGCATATTGGACTACACAAAGTATGAAATGTTAAACAAAGCACTAGAGGCATTTGGTGATCTTGGAGATGATGAGGAACTAGGACCTGTTGACTGGCCTACAGTTAAAAGATATATCACGTGCTTAAGTGATGTTGAAGGGGAATGTGTGCACCCACACAGTGCTGCTGAAAGTGACAGTAATTTAGTTCCAATGAATTTAAAGGATTTACGGATACGTTTTCTGAGTGGTAAGTGTATATATTATTATTATTATTATTATTATTATCATTATCTTGTAATTCCAAATATGATCGTTAATGAGTTTGTACTATATCCATATTAGGCTTCTTTGGCCAGGGCGAGACCCATGCATGAAAGGGCTTTGTATTCTGCCTACCTCTGTTTATCAGCATGGTAGTTAAAAGGGGCATCTACGCCCCAAAAAAGTCCTACACTCATCAAGGCTTAGCCTAACCACCTCAATGTCATATTGATAAGACCCTCTTTTCGGGCGCACATAAATTCCTTGGCGCTCTTCAGTAGTTTCCAGGCTAAGAAAAAGCACATCTTTATTTTTAATCACTTAATCATCTCTCTCTCTTAGTGATAGTTGATATGCCATATCGGATCGTAGTCCTATTTGATAGATCATACAGTTACCTAATTCATATATATATATATATTTTTTGGTATTTATGAGCATATGATTGTCTGCTTGCATCCAGTGTCTCTAGTTCTTGACTTGAATATATATTGTTAGGTATCTGAGTCATGTGTTGGCAATTTCCTATTCAAAACTTTAGTTGTAATGTGTCAAAGTATCTTGAGTCATATGAGCAGAACCATTAAAGACAATATGGACAAAGATTTGTGAAGAAGAAGACAAGAAATCAACATGCTCTATCACATATCTAGGGTATAGGTAAATCGACCTTAGAAAGACCTTAAATGACATAGTTTGACATTGGAGAGGCTCAAAGTTTTTGTTTAAAGTTATTATTAATTTTTTTTTTTTTTTCGAATGGCTTGTAGAAAATAAAATATTCCAACAAACGATTGTTTACTAAGAAACTGAGATCATTAATTGAGTGGTCAGTCTATTGATGGGGTCTAATTTGACAGATTGAAATCCTGAGAGCATCGATTGATCGAGGCAATTATTGAGGGAGTTGATCAAATCATGCAGAACTATATTTTTTTGAAACTTTTTCAAAACAGATTTTTACAGTGAATCAACTTTCCAAAATATGTGGCTACATATATTGGCTAAATATAGGGTTGTAGTCAGTCTAGAGTATGATCTAAAGTCTTTTATCATCTAGAGAGAGAAAATCCTTCTTAGAGAGTAGAATTGCCAATTACTCAATCTAGGGTTTTCTTAGACACCGTCATATGTGATTGAGTATTCATCAAGAGCAATTCATCAACGTATCAAGATGATTTAATGCAACCGATCAAAAAATTTGAGCAGAAGGAAGGACAACAATTAGAGAAACAGATTTGTGAGGAGCGAAGTCTGTTAATTGATGGTCGAGATGGGTGACTTGGAGACTTGAGTGGAGAGCTTGGTATCAGTCTACGTCAAGAGATAACTAGGGGTTTTAGGGTGTGGGAACTGTTATCGCAATTGTAACTTCTTTCTCATGTAGTGGATTGTTCTTCGTTGGACGAGGTTCCATGGTTTTTCCTGTTTAGGGTTCTTCTCTTAAAAATTGGGTTGTTTTTGCTCTTACTTCACTTGCTATGGATGCATGTTACCCATGTGATGATTGGATTTGAAACCAGCGGATACAGACTGAAATTCAAACCACAATCAGTGTAACTATCTAAATATAACTGTAACTTAAATTAATATCCATATGACCTATTCACCCCCACTCTAGGTCTAATTTACTGTTCACACTGACATATCAGAGCCTTTGGTAATGGTCCCTGTTATCTACATTTATGATAATGTCATATATGTTAAAATTTCTATGATTGTATCAATTTTATTATTGCACATCTGTAATAATATTTAATGGTTGATGCATATCATATTAAAAGCATATAGGCATATCGATTTAACTTGCTCACTTATTTGATGTGCTAAAAAAATTCCTTTTCTTATATTTTGACTTGTTCTATCCAACATATTTAAATGTTTTCAATCATATGTTGATTTAACTTAGTGATATGAAAATTCGAAGGATATTTAAATATATATATATATATATACACACACACACACACACAGTGGTGTTCAACTGCTCCTTGGTGAGTAGGGAGTAGTATACTTACTTTTAATTGTAGCCGTAAGATTTAAGCCGACAACAATTATTTAATCAGCCTTTCTTTTCATTGTTTTAGGAAACTAACTCATTTTTTCTGTTACCATTAAATATAATTTGAGAATGAAATGACAAAAGTAGTCACTCTTTTATAGGAAACAAAAATCTAAAAATGGTGAATTAGCCTTACAATTCCAGTTATTTCCATGAATATGAGGTAAAGTAATGCATTAGTGCATGGTCCATTACGCAGCTGCAAATATTTCAGTACTGGACACCTTGCAACATAAATTCACATCCTAATAAATTCTTATAGAACTTTTTCTTCACAAGAATGAGTTTTAATCATCTAAGGAAAAGATATATACAGATCATAATTCCTATAATATGGGAACTACTTATGTAAAATTTTAAAAAGTCAATTATCTAACTATGGGCAATTCCTAAAAATCCTCCCTAACTATTTTCCTACCAATTCAGCCTAGATCTTTCCACGCTCCCCCTCAAGTTGGCTCAAAAATTATCTTGCATTCCCAGCTTGCATGTAAGATAGTCAAATTTCCCCTTCGGTAATCCTTTAGTGAGGATGTCTGCTACCTGTTCTTCTGTTGGAAGATAGGGCATACATATCACTTCTTCTTCCAACCTCTCCTTAATAAAATGTCGATCAACTTCCACATGCTTAGTCCTATCATGTTGGACAGGATTGTGAGCTATGTTGATTGCAGCTTTATTATGACAGTAAAGCTTCCTAGGCATCGGACTTGAGATTTTAAGATCTTCAAGTAATCTTTTCAGCCACAAACTCCATGAACAACTGCTCCGAACTCAGCTTCTGCACTACTCCTTGCTACAACGGTTTGCTTCTTGCTCCTCCAAGTATGGAAGTTGCCACCAACATAAGTACAGTAACCTGAAGTAGACCTTCTATTCGTCACACTACCTACCCGATCAGCATCGGTATAGGCTTCAATCCTTAGATGGCCCTGGTTTTCAAACAACAAACCTCTTCCAGGTGATCCCTTTAGGTATTTGAGAATCCGGTAGACTGCCTCAAAAGTGTTCTTCTCCTGGTGAGTGTATAAATTGACTCACTACATTCACTCCAAATGTGTTTCCACTGGTTTGCAGCCAGGTAAATCTGTCTCCATAAGTAAATTCAACACATAATTCCTTTGAGAGACAAATATCCCTTTCTTGGATCTTGCAAATTCCATTCCTGGGAAGTATTTCAAAGCTCCAATATCTTTTATCTCAAATTCCTTTGCAAGAAAAGACTTTAAATCCTCCAATTCTCTTTTATTATCTCTGGTCAAGATTATGTCATCCACATAAAGAATATGTATGGCTATCTTACCATCACTTGAATGTTTGTAGAACAGAGTGTGATCAGCCTGACTTTGACGATATCCACGACTCTTGATAGCTTTAGTGAATCGATCAAACCATGCTTTGGGTGATTGTTTCAAACCATATAGCGATTTCTTTAATTTACACACCTTTCCAGCTTCATAATCATTTTCAAATCCTGGTGGTAGACTCATAAACACTTCTTCCTCTAGCTCACCATTTAAGAACGCATTCTCTACATTTAACTGCTGCAATGGCCAACTCAAGCTTGCAGCAAGAGACAACAATACTCGTATGGAATTTACCTTTGCCACCGGGGCAAAGGTTTCCTGGTAATCTATTCCATATGTTTGGGTGAAGCCTTTAGCAACTAGTCTCGCCTTGTATCTCTCAATATTACCATTTGCAGCCTACGGTCTTCTTCTCCCTTGGCAACTCAACAATCTCCCAAGTTTTGTTCTTATCAAGAGCCCCCATCTCTTCCATAACTGCTGCCTTCCACTCAGTATGATTCTAGGCCTCCTGTATAGGAATTGAAACACTAGAGAGATTAGTGGTAAAAGCTCTATAATTTGGAGACAATCTATGGTAGGACACATATTAAGCAATAGGATGCATGGTACAAGATCGAGTACCCTTCCTAAGTGCAATAGGAATATCAAGGTCAGTAGAAAGGCTCTCTTCATTGCTGGTTTCAGGAATTAAAGATGGATTAGAGATAGAAATACCTGTTTCATTCAAGTTGCCTTTATCCGGAGAATTTTCTTGGCAGGTAGTAGGTTGGTGCTCTTTATTTTGACCTTCCTTCTTCGAGAGTAAACACGGAGCTCAGATTGAGGTTGGATTTAAAGTGGTTCTCCCCCTGAAGTGTAGTTTATAATGTTCGACTCAATAGGCTTCGGAGAGGTTGAAATAGTGGGTTCAGTAGGTTCAGTTGGTAAGGTAGAGTTGGTAAAGAGCCCAACACTACCCAAAAATGGTCTTCCCTCTCATTACTCTCCCCCTGAAGAGTATTTTTTGTGAAATAGGGCTGAGTCTCAAAAAAGGTCAAATCCATACTCAGAATTTTTTAGAGGTGAGGTTATAATAACCCTTTCTATTTAGGAGAGTACCCAACAAACACGCACTTTTCAGCCCTAGGATGAAGTTTTGAACAGTCCTGTGTATGAACATGTACAAAAGCAGTGCATCCAAACACTTTAAGAGGTAATGAGGTGAAGATCCTAATATGGGGAAAAACTTACAGCAAGCTGTTTATGGGCGTCTCAAATTTCAACACCCTAGTTGGCATTCTGTTGATCAAGTATGAAGCTGCAAGAATAACCACACCCCATAGATATTTAGGAACCCCCATAGTGAACATTATTGCCTTAGCAACCTCAAGTAAATGGCGGTTTTTTCTCTCAGCTATCCCGTTTTGCTGTGGGGTATCAAAGCAAGTGGACTGATGGAAAATACCCTTTTCTTTCAAAAAATCACCAAGAATAGAGTTAAAAGATTTCTTTTCCATTGTCGGTTCTAAATACTTGAATCTGGGTTTGAAACTGGTTTTCAATCATGGCATAGAACTCTTTAAACACTCTCGCAGCTTCAGATTTTTCTCTCAAAAGATATACCCAACACACTCT